CCTCTTGCCTTCCAGAGTGTGCATTAACAGAAGCTTGAGTCAGGAGCCAGAGTCAGAACCAGCTATCAGACAGGATACTTTGATATGGAATGCAGTTGCCTCAACCACTACGCTACACAACCGCCCAATATCTTCTTTTCATTAGACAAAATTTTACTGTCTCTTCATATATTTAACTTCATCTTAAAAAGATTATAAGCTGAATTTTGGACAATGGATTTCAGGCCCAGTCAATGGAAAACATCCTTTGGTCATACCCTCTCCCGATCCCCTACCTGTCTCTGAGACTATCTTGCAGATCTATATGGGACACTTCTTCCACTCCGCCCACTTCCTGGCTTCATCCACGGTGAGCTGGCCTGAAGGCTGTGTACTTGCTTTCCTCTTGGTAGCAATATTCTCTGAGCCGAGATGGGAAGCCCAGGGCAGATGATGAATGTTCCTGATGTGGGTGAGTGCAGCTAAGCTCCAGGAGAAGTGTGTAATGGGTTCTCTCCCGATTTAAACTGATTATGTTCTAGTTAGAGGCAAGGGCCTTAGCAAGGAAAATACCTCATCTGTGGAGCATTTGCTTTGTGCCAGTCCCTGAGCTGGATCATTTCCCAAATGCAATTAATTTTCATCTCCAACACAGCCCTACGAGTTGCACGCTGGAATTCCCATTCTGCAGATGAGGAAATCCGGGCTCCCAGTGGCCATGGCCCCCAGTGAGTATGTGAAGGAGCCTGGTCTGTCTGACATCAACACCTCTTCACTATCCGCTACACTGACTGAAAATATAAATAATAGTTGATGACTGAAGACCAGGAAAGATCAACAGAGAAAGAAACTCGTCTCCCGGGTCAGAGGGATTAAAGAAGAAGCTGGGAGGCTTTCCCCATTCCGGTGTGGCAGTACCTCCTCTTTTAATGACTTCCCCTTGCAGGCGAAATTCTCCGGAAGAATGCTGTTGACAGGCTTCAGTGCATCATAAATAATGTCCCAGGTGCGCCAGCTACCCCTCAGTCACATTCCTCTGGGGGCTTTGCAGAAGCCCTCAAAATTAACCCCCTCGCAACTCAGTATCATTTGCTCCTATCTAATAAGTTGCTTTGTAAGTACTCTTAAACATTTCTGGTAAGCAGCTGTTAAATGAGTATTATCTGCACAGCGGCGGGATCGATTGCCTGCATGTAGTCAGTGTTTAACAATTCTACAAGCTGCCTGTTTTTTGGTGAGACAGGGAGATCACCTAAACTTTAGATTCCCCGAAGGGTGGGCTTTATTTTATTTGTTTCTATATCCTTAGCTTCTAGCTGAATAAGGCCCAGGACAGGTATTCCTAAAGGTTTGATGAATTAAACTTAATAGGAAGCCAATTTTCCCAAGCTCTGAAATGGGGACATATAGATGACCCACAAATACATTGCATTTTACCCTACAAAGACTTGGTATGAAGATCACCTGAGGTAAATGTACAAATGCAGAACGAGATAGGTCATCATAAGGGGAGTACCAAGTGCTCAGTATGTTGGAGGGTAGAGCGGTCCTACCCCGTTTCCTAAGTGGGGTTATCAGAGGGTTTTAGATACCCTCAGCTCCTACACTTTGGCACCTGGTATAAAGTTGTTATTCTCAGTAGTTGTGGTGGGAGGTATGGAATGGGTAATTGTATTACTTTATATTTCCCCAGTTTGAATATCTTTTTTGCAATAAATCCATCCCTCTTACAACTAAAACAAAAAAGGACTTCATGGTGAAGCTAGTTTGTGACTGGATTCCAGAAGCTCTATGGAAACACACAGGGACAAGCAAAACTTTGAAGGCTCAGAGAGCGGAACCAGAAGTACGGGACATGGTCAGGGGCACAGAGGCAGATGAGGCCGGAGGGAAAGTTAGGGCCATAGGAGCCTCTAGACCTTTCTGGGAAGGGCAAGGCATGACCATGGCCAGGCTTGAGCCCTGCTCAGGGCTTGGATATACTGATGGAGTCCTTCAGGAGCCTCATGGCCTGCAGCTCCTAAATGCCAGGGGCTGAGCTCTGCTCCACATGCCAGTCCCCTACACGAGCAAGGGGTGGCTCGTGAGGGGGCTTCCCAGAAACATGACTGGAAGAGAAGGAAACACTCTGCAAGTCAGCCATAGGTTCCCTCTCTCTTTCTGGCCATGGGGAGTCAGGATGGACGTTGAAACATCCTGTTTCATGCATTATGTTACCCTTTGCTTCAAGAAACTATGAGGAGACTTCGAAAAGTTCATGGAAAATGGAATTAAAAGGTAAGTTAATTTTGGTGCCAAGAATCTTTGAAATCTGGGCAAAATTTTTTCATAATACATATTTCCTTGAACTTTTAAAACTATCTATTTATTTGAAAGGCACAGTGACAGAGAGGAGGGAGAGAGAGAGAGAGAGAGAATGGGAATGAATCTCCCGTCTACTGGTTTACTTCCTAAATGCCATAACAGCCAGGCTGAAGCCAGGAGCCTGGAACTCCATCTTGGCCTCCCACGTGGGTGGCAGGATCCCATGTACTCGGTCCATCTTTTGCTGCCTTCCCAGTTGCATTAGCAGGGAGCTAGACTGGAAGCAGAGCAGCTGAGACTTAAACCAGTGCTCCTATATGGAATGCTTATGCGGTAAGCAGCGACTTGACCCGTTGTGCCACAATACCAGCCTTTTATCTCCTGTCCTCTGTCACTCCTTTCAAATAAGTAAATAAATCTTTAAGAAGTTAAATTAAAAGAGAACACACTATTTCCATGAACTTTTTGAAAGCCCTCTTGTGGGGAGCAGCTCGGACTAGACTGTTACTGGAATTAAGACTTATTCTATGCATCTGCTCTCCCACAATATGGCGCTGGGAGAGAAGTAAACAGCTTCCGCACAGCTGCCTCCAGTTCAACCAATTAACTGTAGGACTTGCTCCTGATTGGAGGAGAGCAGCGTACTCGGCGTGTGGGCAGCCGAGTTGGGATTGGCGGAGGAGGACTATAAAGGAGGAGAGAGACGGCATGCACCGGGAACATCTATGGGGAACATCTAGCTGAAGGAACACCCGTGCAGCCCCCGAGAGAGCCGGCCGGCGGTGTGCCGCTCCCCTGCGGAAGTGGGGAATGCGGCCAGGGGGAACTGCCCTTCCACGGAGGTGGAAGGGATAGTAGCCAACCCGGGAAGAACCAGCAGCAAACCCGGGGAGGGCCGAGCAGACAAAAGAACAGCGCAGGGTCCTGTGTCGTTCCTCCACGAAGAGGGGGAGCGACACCTCTTATGATCCTTTCTTCAATGATATATTCTTCCCTTCTTCCTATTCCTCCCTCTCCCACTTAAATATTTCTCCACATAAGCACATGCACTCATTCAGTGCATCTATTCATCCCCTGCTCTGCTACCCTGGTTCTGTTGGGGGCAATAGGGGCAAAAATGCCATTAATTTCCATGAAATATCTGTCTACACCTTTTCCAGTAACAGGCTTTTCATCTGTCAGATTCTTCATCAGTCACATCCTGTGGTTTAACAGTTCTGTCATTTCAATTGTTCTTTAGTGTTCAATCTGAATGCCCAGTTACTCCAGTCACCCCCTTTTGTTTTTGATTTTTTTTAATTCTGAAATGAAAAATCCATTACCTGTTCCTCAAGCCTAACTCCTTCAATGATGTACTTTCATATTTAAAAATATTTCTTTTAGTAATCTCTTTGACTACCATACAAAACCCAACAGTAAAGTGAATTCCTGATTCTATTACTTGATAAAACTCTGAATGTCTTTGTGATGGTTATGTTTGTGTGTCAGCTTGTCTAGGCCAGGGTACTCAGATATTAAGCTAAAGAACTCTGCGTGTTGCTGTGAAGGCATTTAAAATTTATTATTATTTTTTATTAGGCAGACAGAGAGCTCCTATCTGGTGGTTCATGCCCTAAATGCCCACAATGACTGGGGTAAGGCTAGGGTTGTAGTCAGGACCCCTGCACTCAATCCAGGTCTCTCTCATGTGGGCACCAGGAGCCCAATTACTTGAGCCATCATGACAGCCTGTCAGGGTCTGCACTGACAGCAAGTTGGAGTCAGGAGCAGAAAGCAGGTGTCAAACCAGGGCTCTAGACTGTGAGATGCAGGCATCCTAACTGCTGGGCTCAAGGCTGGCTCCCTGGGAGGTATTTGAATGATGGGGTTAACAAGTAAATCCGTAGGCCATGAGGAAAGCAGATTGCCCTCCATAATGTGAGTGGGCCTCAGCCAACACAGTGAAAACCTTCAGAAAAGATGCCCCCCAGTCCCCCACAGGAGAGAGCTCTCCAAGCAGCAGGCTCCTTCCCCTCCAACTGCAGCAGGAACTCTTCCCACACTCTCCGGTGTGATGTCCTGCCCTGCGGTGTGGAAGCCTCAGTACTGCATGAGCCAGCTCCTTACAATAAATAGTTCTCTACTCTTGGTTGTGTTTCTGGGGAGAACCATGACTAATTGACTAATAGTCTTTCTGTTCATATTCTATTCATTCTATTCCTCCAGAAAGATTACGATTTCTTCTATCACTTATTTTTTTTTTTTTTTTTTTTTTGACAGGCAGAGTGGACAGTGAGAGAGAGAGACAGAGAGAAAGGTCTTCCTTTGCCGTTGGTTCACCCTCCAATGGCCGCCGCGGCCGGCGCGCTGCGGCCGGCGCACCGCACCGATCCGATGGCAGGAGCCAGGAGCCAGGTGCTTTTCCTGGTCTCCCATGGGGTGCAGGGCCCAAGCACCTGGGCCATCCTCCACTGCACTCCCGGGCCACAGCAGAGGGCTGGCCTGGAAGAGGGGCAACCGGGACAGAATCCGGCGCCCCGACCGGGACTAGAACCCGGTGTGCCGGCGCCGCTAGGCGGAGGATTAGCCTAGTGAGCCGCGGCGCCGGCTTCTTCTATCACTTATGAAACACCACTAGGTGCCTATAAAACAGCTCCTCCTTAAATTGGCAGCACCCCTCCCACACCTACTTATCTCTTTTCCCTGTGTGAAAATCTCTTTATATGAGAACACCCCATGTCACCTCTCTCTCACCTGGCTTCATATCGGTTTTCTCTGCTTTTGCCATCAGTGGAGGAAAGCACAGCTTGGCAGCCAGCACTGAGAAATGGACTTTCCCAGCTGTGAAGACCCTGGCTTGTAGTTGAAACTCTCCAAGCCCTCCAGTCTCTCCCTCCTGGGTCCTGTGAGTGCTTTGTGCATCTTTCTTTCTCTCCTCTGAGCCCTCTCCAAGTTCACTATTTGACTTCTTTGGGACCTTCACTTTGATCTCAGTGAAGAATCTGATGGGATCACACTGCATCCTGGGAATGAAGTCAAGTGTTGGATGTTGCCAAGATTTCTCACAAAAATCTCTTCCTGGGTGGGGGTACGTCAGTCTTAACCATGGGGGTTCTTATTCTTTACTGAACTATGTAAGGACTACCTACCCTACTGGGTACTAAACGAGATGCCAGGCTCTGCAGTAGATGATTCACACTCATCATCTTAATTCATCTTGTAAATTAGACGGGACAGACTAATTATTTTCCTCTACTCAACCCTCCCTTTTAATAAGAAATGGAAACTCTGAGTTTTAGCTGGGCACATGGCCACTAGCGATAAAAACAAAATCAGCTGGCCCCCCTTGTGTAGAGGTGTGGTCGGGTGACTCACTTCTAGCCAGTAGAAGATAAGGAGAAAGGTTTAGGTAGAACTCTTGAGAAGTATATCTAAAAAGGGAACGGTACAACTCCTTTCCCTGCCCTCCTGGAATCTGGACAATGTATGAAGCTTGCAGTCGTCTTGAGCCCTGTGGCATAAGTACTCATGTGTGTTGGAGAAAGAAGCAACATCCAGGACAAAGGAGCCTAGATCCCTGCTGATTTGTGCAGCCGCCATAAGAGTCCAGAACTGCCTAGACACAGAGTAATTTCACTCTCCTTAACAACTTATATAAATCACTTGGAGTTTCAGGGTTTCAGTTAATTGTAGCTGCACAGAATACTGATTGATCCAGTGGGTTCAAATATTCCCATTCAAGGGAGGAAGAAAGTGAGCCCCAAAGAGATTAAATAACATGTTGAAAGTTATTCAGGTAGCAAGTTGTAAATTCTTTCTGATTCCAAAGCCCAGGGCGCAGGGTCTCTTCCTGCTGTGCCATTCTTCCTGCTAGTAAATTCAGGCCCCTAAATTGAGCTTCTCATAGTCTTTTCTGGTCTGAAGATTCTTCTAAGTGAGTCTAGTTTGGTTGAGATGCTGCTGCCTGTAAAGAGGTTCAGAGGCCCATCCACGGCCTGACAGATGTGCCAGCCAACCTCTGTACCTCTAGCCATTCAGAGTCCTGGATGAACTTGTCCCTTAACTACACAATGTGTTTGCCAAGTAACTCCCTCTTAAAATGCAGGGTAGGGTGGATGTCTTGCACGCCCTGTCAGACCGCTAAGCCTACCTGTCCAAACAAATCTACTCTGCTGTGACTTTATTCCCCTGGCGTGTTGGTACACATGCGTCTCCCAGTGGGGCTTGGGGCCCGAGCATGTCTGAGAAATTGAGCGGCAGCAAATTTTTCTGCCAAGACCAAAGCAAACATCCCTGGAAACAAGGAGAGGGAGAGCCTCATTGTGAAGAGTCCTGGCTTCTGTAGAGATCGTCTGCCAGGCGATTCCAGACCCTTCCTTCAGATGCAGAGATCCTCAAAGTCCTTCAAATGCTTGACAGTGGTCTATGTCAAAGCAGAAACACACCCAGCAGGGGAAAATGTGCCTGCTTTTTGCTTGTGTGGATTTGCAGGGATCTTGGATATGGGATCCAATTTAGTTTACTGTATGACCTTGAAGAGAAGCAGTATGTTGTGTTGAAAGAGTGCAGGCTGAGATTCTGAAAGCTTGGCTACTGGTTATAGCTGTGACACTATGTAGTTCCATCTTGGGCAAGTCACTTAACCTCTCTGAGCCTCTCAGCTGTAAGCTGAGGATTAATTCATTTATCCATCTATCTCTCCACCCATCCACTCAGTCATTCATCCATCTGCCCATCCACCCACCCATCCTTTCATTTGTTCATTCATCCATTTGATTCAATAGTTATTAAATGTGTACTAGGTTAAGGGGACAAAGATGAATACGGTATAGCTTCCACTAAAGAGTTCAGTTCTTACCTGGTGGCTTATAGTAAATGCCAGAATGTGATGGTTCTTGAAAAAGCATAAAGCTGTACATACAGTCAGAGGGTTATTTCTGAGTCACTACTTTGCACACCTCAACTTCCTCTTCTCTAAGATGCAAGCCCCAGAGTGTGCCCCAGGGAGTCATGGAGGAGTAGGCATAGAATGGGTAAACTGGCTACTGAGGCTGTTGGCAATAGCTGGATCAGAGAACAGGTGACTACAGACACGTCCTACGGAAGGGATACGCTGAGGATCACCTTACACTTCCCATCTGCAAGGCCCCTGCCCAAGCTCAGAGCCTAATGGGAGTCTAAAGACTCCCGTCTGTATGATTGGGAGATGCCTTTGTCAGCCAGGAGAGAAATTTCAATATTTTATGGAAAGTATTTTGCAGCAGGAAATCTTTTCTTTTTTCTCAGTGCCAGCATAATTTAACCATGATTTAATAGCTTCTTTCATTTACTTGCTAAATTATGCCTCTCCATCAGCTTCCCTTTGGGTTTTCCCGCCTTTTGGTCCTACAACCTCCCATTATTTATTAATGCCCGGTAATCCACAATTGAGGCAGGGGAAAGCAGCCACTTCACAGTGATTTAGGAGGCTCCTGGCAGTGAAGCAACAAGAACAGGAGCATATGCTTTGAGAGTCTCCCCTGGACTCACCTTTTTGGAACAGATTGGATCATTTTTAACCATCATCTAGGTGAGTCCTCCCCTCTCCTTCCCATCCCACCCCCTGGCCATTTTCCTGTTCTGAGCAAATTCAAAATACTTGGCTCGAAATGACTGATGAGTCACCATGCATGTTTTTTTTTTCCAAGTTCCAAACGCTAGAATGAGCATGCTTCTCATAGCTGTGCTTAACTTGAAGAGATGGAGCTAATTTGGCTTTGCCTCTAAGGGAGGAACCTGTGTGGGGTTAAGAGCACTCAGATCATGGGAAGCTTTAAGGAGTCTTAAAAGGAAGCTTGAGATGGTGTAGGGAGAGGGTCGGTGGCCTTCTGTTGTTGGAATGTTTTGAGTCTCATATGGAATGGAGAAAGGATGATGAACAGTTGCAGGGTACAGCAACAGAATTTCACCACCTTTATTGAGTCATGTCTGGAACTTCAGCACAATTCTGCCTCCTCCAGGCATCAGTGAGAGGCACGTCCGTTACTGCCCTCACCTCCCTTTCTTGTCCTCACCTCTTCATTTGCGCTTTGGACTGGACTGGCACCCATTATTCTGTGACCTCTATGGATGAAGTACAGGGAATCTGCAGGTGAAAGGGGTAGAAGGACACCTGGGGAAAGGCGTGCCCATCCCATAATAGGCAGTTGACAGGTGGTAGAGCTAAGATTAGAACCAGCTTCCTTTTAGGTTTTAACTTTAAAAAAACTTTAACCTAAAAAAAAAAAAACTTTAACCTTAAAAAAATTTAAATTTTGTTTGTTTCTTTGAGAGGCAGAAAGATAGACACAGACACACACACACACCCCAGAGAGACAGAGATAAAGAAACAGAGAAAGAAAGAAACACAGGCAGATATGCAGAAAGCTTCTATCTACTGATTTACCTCCTGAATGTCCGCAAGGGCAGAGACTAGACCAGGCTGGAGCTGGGAGCCAGGGATTCATCCTGGGTTTCCTGCCTGGGTGGCAGGGATCCAATTACGTGAGCCTTCAGTGCTCTTTCCCAGGGTTTGAATTGTCAGGAAGCTGGAGTCAGCAGCTGGAGCTGAGAGCGGAACCTTGGCACTCTGATGCAGGATGCAGGCAGCTGCTAGGCTGAATGTCCCTCCTTCAACTGCAAACTGCTTTCTTAATTATTTTTATGTTATATTTATTTATGAGAGAGAGAGAGAGAATATCGTTCTTCTGCTAGTTCACTCACCAAATGACCCCAACAGCTGGGAGTGGGCCAGGCCAAAGCTAGGAGCCAGGACCTCCATCAGGGTCTCCATGGCAGGATCTGTACTTCTTGGGCCATCACCTGATACCTCCCATGTGCATCAGCAGGAAGCTGAATGGGAAGCAGAGGCAGGAAGGCATCTCAGGTACTCTGATACAGGATGGAGGTGCCCCAAGCAGCAGCTTAACTCACTGCGCCACAATGCCTGCGGACTGTAAACTTTTATTGGTTGGGTTAGTATATCATCTTTTGGAGATAATATATATTCAAGGTCTTAGCACAGTATCTGGCATTTTATTATAGGAATAGTTTAAAAAGTTTGTGGAAAATGGAATGAAAAGGGAATTTTACTTTGGTTTAAATATTTTGCTATCTGTGGATAGTTTTTCATAATATGAATTTTCCACGAACCTTTTGAAGACCCTGTGTACCTGTTTGCCCTCCTCTTACTATGGGCCACCGAAACAGATACAGTGCTTAAGAGAAAGGGAAGTATTGGGTTGCCGGTGCTGGGTGCTGGTGTTGTATTGCAACAGATTAAGCAGTCACCTGCAAGGCTCATGTCCCATCTCAGTACTAGATTGAGTCTCGGTTGCTCCACTTCCAGTCCAGCTCCAGGGTAATGAACCAGGGAAAACAGTGGAAGATGGCCCAACAGTGGAAGATGGCCCAATTCAGGGCCCTGACACACACATGGGTGACCAGAATGGAGTTCCAGATTCCTGGCTTTGGCCTAGCCCAGCCCTGACCCAGTGTTGTATGGGGACAGATCCCCGCAGTGAGAGACTTTGGCTTTCATCCTTGCTGTCCAGTTACTAGTTGGTTAACCTTGGCGCAGCTGATTTGCACCTCTGAGCCTTGCTTCTTGTCTGTAAAGTCATAAGCCTGGGGCTGGCACTGTGGCATAGTAGATTAAGCCTCTGCCTGGGGCTCCAGCATCCAAAATGGATGGGATGTCTCATGTCTCAGCTGTGCCTCTTATGATCCAGCTCTCTGCTTATGGCCTGAGAAAGCAGTGGAAGATGGCTCAAGTCCTTGGGCCCCTGCACCCACGTGGAAGACTCGGAAAAAGCTCTTGGCTCCTGGCTTTTTATCCATGCAGCTGCGCCATTGTGGCCATTTGGGGAGTAAACCAGAGGATGGAAGATCTTTCTCTCTCTCTCTTCTTCTTTGTAACTCTGCCTCTCAAATTAAAAAAAAAAAAATCTTTTTTAAAAAAAGTCGTAAGCTGGGTCAGAGATGCTCTCCTGCTTCCCTTTTTCCTGAGACCACCTTGCTTGCTTGCGGGTGAGAGTGACTTAGAACATGGAGTGGGACCCTAGAGTCTGGAAAATGAATTGTTCTGGTGCAGCAAGGGGGCTGTGACAAGCTCGGGGTGCTTGGGGCTTTCTGATGGTTGTACTGGGTGATAGTCACAGCAAGCAGGAGGATTTCTTCTGTGCCTCGGTCAGTCCAGCCTCTCACTTCTTCTCTCTGTGCGTTGTCCCCACTGGTCTCTTTCCAGCTTTTGGTGAGCACACTCACCTGGTCCTCCCTGCCAGATGGAGCCTGGGCGCTGCCCCCCAGAGGACGCGTCCTGACACCCCCAGAGGCCTGGGGAGCCATTCTCCATCTGGTGATCTGGAATGGAAGTCCAAGGACAGCAGAGAAGGTCTGAGATGTGACAACAGCTGCGAGAGCAACTGCGGTCCCTCTGTCCCTCCAGCATGTCACACCCACCACAGCTCTGCCTGGTGGCCAGGCAAGTGGAGGAAGTCAGTACAGAGGATGGGCCTTTTCCTCCATCCCGTCCGCCCTCTGTTCCATCCTCCGCAGCCAGCCTGACTTTGTGATGACCTCTGCAGTCCCGCCTTTGCATTCTGCAGTGCCCCGGGTTTGCAATGACACGCTGCATTTCTCCACAAGTTTTCATTTCTGTGGCGCCAAGGCTGGGGAGCTTCAGAGGGCCAGGCTGCTCTGTAACTAACGTCACTGTGTAATCTGCCTAAGCCTTGACTAATGCATTCCTTGCATTATTAAACACAGATTAAATATATATGGATATTTAAATGTAATGTGTTATTTTCCTAAATCTAACTTTACTCGATGTTCCTTTGACTTACGCCTTTTCAGCGCTCATAATTGTCTCAGGGATCATGAATTACAGGCAGGAAGGCGCTGGAGCTCCCTCCGCGCCAAAGCCTGCCATCCCATTCCATTTGCCCAAGAGACGCCACAGTAGTTCTCCCACCCAGAAAATTACTGCTGGGGTTCTTCGCTTGGGAATGTATTTTTCCCCTCTTCCACAGAGCTTATTCCTCGCCAGTTCAGAGGCTCAGGCAGCCAGAGCCTGGCAGACTTGCAGGGTTGTTTCTGTTCTGCAGGAAAGTTTGTGTCTGGGACACAAGCCAGCAGTCTGTTCCTTCTTGCTGGCTGTTCCTTCATCTACTGTCCATCAGCCACTTGTCCTCTACGGGTGCTTGGAGGGCCCCAGAGAATCCTGATAGATTTTTTTAAAATATATTATCATCTTATTTATTTGCAAGGTTCCTGCTCAGAGCCCTAGCCTAATGGTGAGAAAACTGAAACCATCCACAAAAATGGTATGTTGAAAGCAGAGACTAAGTCACTCCACTCTCGCCTGCCTCAGTTTCCCCTTTCTCTAAGGGTGGGATGGAGGTGGTCTTGATTTTCTTTGCTGATGCTTGCGTGGCTCCTTGTGCCTCTGAGGAACCAGAAGGCACACAGTGAGATATTGCTGTCCACTTAGTGGTTCAGGCTCTTTTCCCGTTACAACTAAAGTAGACTCCTGTGAGTCTTGGTTAAAGATCTTCTATCTGATGCCAAGCAGTTCCTGGATCGGCAGAAGGCCTGGGTTCCTGGATTTTTCTGTATCTGTGGATTTGACTGTAAGCTGTTGGTCTCCCGGAACCAGCTCAGACCACCCAGTAGGAACTCACTGCTGGTTGGCATCTTGACATCATTCATTGAGGGAATATTTACATGGAAATAAGCAAAAATTAGGGAGCAGAGCTTTTTTTTCCCCTTTGAGAATTGGTTGTTAAAACTTAGCTGGCCGGCGCCGTGGCTCACTAGGCTAATCCTCCGCCTTGCGGCACTGGCACACCGGGTTCTAGTCCCGGTCGGGGCGCTGGATTCTGTCCCGGTTGCCCCTCTTCCAGGCCAGCTCTCTGCTGTGGCCAGGGAGTGCAGTGGAGGATGGCCCAAGTGCTTGGGCCCTGCACCCCATGGGAGACCAGGATGAGTGCCTGGCTCCTGCCATCGGATCAGCGCGGTGCGCTGGCTGCAGCGCGCCGGCTGCGCCGGCCATTGGAGGATGAACCAACGGCAAAGGAAGACCTTTCTCTCTGTCTCTCTCTGTCTCACTGTCCACTCTGCCTGTCAAAACAAACAAAGAAACAAACAAACAAAAACAACAAAAAAAACTTAGCAACACATTCCTGCTGTAAGCTCTCCGAAGACACTGATTGGTTTTGTAGCTGTCTTTATATATTACTAAACTCCTATTGGGGTTCACTCCAAGCTTCTTCTTTTTTTTAAAGATTATTTATTTGAAAGGCAGAGTTACAGAGAGAGGCAGGGGGCAGAGACAGAGAGAGAGAGAGAGAGAGAGATGTCTTCCATTTGTTGGTTCACTCCTCAAATGGCTGCAACAGCTGGAGCTGCACCAATCAGAAGCCAGAAGCCAGGAGTTTCTTCTGGTCCTAGGAGCTTCTGAGCACACTAGCAGGGAGCTGGATCAGAATCAGAGGAGCCGGGACTTGAGCCTGTGCCCATAAGGGATACCGGTACTGCAGGTGGCAGCTGTACCTGCTTCACCACCGTCAGCCCCCACTCAGAGCTTTTGTAGACGAGCACAGAAAACCTGTCCAGTCTTGGATCTTTCCAAGTTTGACTGTAAAGAAGTTGGAATCTGCATTAAGTGCCATTGTCTTCCAAACTTGCCTCTTGACATTAGCTTATTGATACTGTTTTTTCCTCACTGGGGAGACTACCATGCTGTGCTGCCCAGGTGGATCCCCTCCTCTCCTGGGTGTGTGCATCAGACCACCCTGAATTAGGAGTCAAAGGGGTTGTTTAAGCAAGAGAGCTTGTTTTCCATCTTTCCCTGCACCCAAGACAATCACTGATAATCTCCTTCTTTTAACGCGAGCGAAGTTTCCGGAGCAGAGTGACCCAAGGCTGGACTGAGTGCAGCAGGCAGCCCCATGTCAGCCGGACTCATGAGAACTGCCCCCAAGGGAAGGAAAGGGCCACACTCGGGGGTCACTGTACTACACTGCCAGGATCTGTCAAACAGTAGCACGTGACGCCTCCCATTTCTTGTGCCTTGTGACTTGGGTGTCCTTTAGAATAGTTTCTTCTTGGTTGTCCTCGGTACACTCCTAGCGTGTGGAGCCTAAAACACAGTAGGTGTTCAGGAAACCTTTGTTGGATTAAGTGGATCGTTTCCTTTGACATCCAGGGTTCTCAAGGTTGGGAAAATGAATGCCGCTGTGTTTGGCAGGTGGGGAGGATATGGAGGGCGTTTGTCCCCTTCCTGAACCTGCTTTCTTCTTTCTGCTTTGGTCAACCCGGTAGCCAGACCCCCTCAAAGGAGAGGAGGTAATTTTCAAGATGTGAGGTTGCCGCCGCAAGGGAAGGGTGGAGGTGGGAGGGCCACGGGCCTTTGTGCTCTGCCTTTCAACAAAAACTGTCTGCAGCTCAGGAAAGCAGCGAGGTAAGGTCTGAAGCGAATGGAATTTTCCTTGTGGTCGCACAGACTTGTTTTAACCACAGGAATGAACACAAGACTCAACTTGCTCCCCTGGCTATTGTCTGGAACTGCTTTCCCGCCAGACGCCGGCAGCTGAGGCTTCCATGTGACATTTTTCTAAGTATGATGATTGCTCTCTGGCCTTCTCTTTATAGCTTTCTTGCTTCCCGCCTCCCAGACTCTTACCTGCCTGGCCTCCCAATGCTTTCCAATAAGCAAGTGCTCTCCTCTGTCTGCGTGGTAGGGGAAGCCGTGAGAGTTTGGCTTGCTTGCTTGCTAATTTATTTATTTATTAAATGTGTGTCTCCTCTCCTTCTTGAACCCCCACCCTGCAGCTCCTCCTTAAAACCACAAAGCTCCACCCTTACCACTTCCCCGATCCTCAAGCCTGGGCAGATAACGCCTACAGGATGGGGAGCTAAGTTGGAGCCGTTCCTCTCAAGCGTTTTTTTCCCACTTAAAGTTATCAGCCCCCCAGTCATTAAATACCTTCCGACTTCAGTTAGAGGCCTGATAGTGGGCATTTTGCTTTAGTTTTTCTAATCTCTCTGTGGTTTCCTCCACGGCCTGTAACCTACCCCAGACAGCCTTCATTCATTCTTGACTCATCTAGGGGAGCTTGGTAGAAGGTACCCCCAAGTGAACCGGCAGCCTGGGACTGGGAGGAGATGGGTTGTTTGTTTCACGTGTCCTCTGCCTTAATGGTCTTGATATTCTTGGTGCAGCGTCCTCACCCTTCTGCTCGGTTTCTGAGTTCTGTCTGTGTCCGAGGATGACAAATGGCAATTGAACAGGCAGCACACCTGGGAACCTCAGGCAAGCTGAAAGCTCGGGGCTCACTTCTCGCCAATATTGCGATGGAGAAACCTCCCTGCAGACAATTATTTTTAAAATTTTTGTTTTAAAGCTGCATTAGAGCCATTGAAACCGATTTCTTTCCAAAGCATTCCCCTTTGATGAGGTGTAAAACAAGGTTAAACAAAAAGCCAAGCTTTGGTGTCAAATACAAGACACCTTTATTCTAATTATAATCATGATGATCCAGTGTGTTTGCGATTTAATTATTTGGAATCAGAATAAAAAAAGACATCCTGTAATTACTATTGAACTTATCTTGAGGCATAAATCTAATAATTAAATACTTTTAGATTTCATTCAGTGAGTAATTAAACTAGAAAAAAGAGGAAGGGTTCCTTTCCACCTTTTGTAAGGAATGTTCTAAAATTATAAATGGATTTCAGTGGAAATATTTAGAAATTACTGTGTATAAAATACAACTGTCAACAGAATAATAATTTCAGTTATTTATAGTCTTCTCCCTTGATGATCAGGGGTTTTGAGCCAGTGAGAAATCACAGAGCAAGGGGCTGGATTTGAATGAAAAATATTTCCATCAGGAGAGAGCTCCCTAAGCCCAAGCTTCGTGTTTGTTGTCAGCAAGGAAAGGGAAGCAGGTACGGTGCCATTTCTATGAGAACTGTGTTCTGCTCTCTGATGAGTTTTGGCAAATAATAGCAGCCCATATGCTTTTCTGTCTTGGAAGTAGGACAGCGAGTGAGGCTTGGCAGGTGCACATACGGTACCCTCCAAGGGGAAGGACTTGGGAGGCAGTGTGCTGACGGGAAGTTTTTGCTTTGTTCATGGGACAACACCCCAGATGGGAACAAACCAACACATGGGTGCTGGAGGGGGCAGTGAAGACGCTGGCTGTCACGGGAAAAGGTCTGCTCAGCTGGCAGCTCCTGTGGGAGCTGAGAAGTCAACAGGCCACGTTCACTCACCTCCCCAGGGACCAGAAATCAGGGCAGGGGCATTGTCCTGAGAGCAGACCAGAGCAAAGTGGAATGAGAGCTCAGTCCTGTCCCATCCAGCAGCTGCAGCCATACCCAGCCGGGTCAGAACAGGTCAAGGTTGTCTCTCCACAAATATTCAAATATCTTTGTCACTCCACAGTCAGTAAGTCCCTCCCTGTAAAATGCAGCTTCTCTTGGGATAAGGAACACCACTGCTGAAAGCTGCTAGAGAAGGTGGACTCCTGGAGAGAAACTGAGTACAGATCCTGGGAGAGGAGGAGGCGTCAGGGGAGGTGGGCGAGTGCCTGCTAACAACAGCAACAACGATGGTGGTGACAGTAGCACCGATGTGATTTACCCGTGCCTTCCTCATTCAACCTCAATCTTGAAAGGTAAAGGCTATCTCCATTCTGAAGACAAGGTTACTGAGCCCCAAGGGTGATTAGTGATTAGTCTGAAGGCACACATGTTGTCAGTGAAGAGGCT